AAGTTAGGCATTTTCTGGGGTTTTCCATGCCCAAGCCATATTGTGCAGGAACATGGTTACATTCCAAAATAATTTTCAATGGTTGCCACATTTCTGTGTGTGAGTCATTGGAAATCTGTGGGTGCAAGTTAGAATCATTCAGTGACCAAAGAAACAAGAGGGGAGCTCTTCACTTAAAACCCTAAGCTCATTCTAATAGGTTTCATAGGGTACAGTCCTGCAGAATGCAAAGAGCCCTCAACTCCCTTTGGGCCAAATCCTCAGCTGATGCAAATCAGTGTAGTTTTATTTCAATGTAGTTTTACTGGCTTCATTGGATACACAGTATGTTAATTTACAGCAGCTGAACATCTGGCCTATTCTCAATCAGGTGCTCATCAACACTGTTTAGAAAATGACTTTATGTCTGTGTACAATATTTAGGGGCATGTACGCAGGGATTTCTGGGGTGTGTGTGCTTTTTTTGTAAATGTAGTTTGCAAGGGTGCGAATACACCCCCCATCATTCCCCAGGTAAGTGGGGAAATCAGCCCTAACCTTCCCCTGGATGGTCAGAGCATGGGGAAGGGAGGCTTGGACAGTGCACTGCCTTCCCCTGGCCAGCTAGAGCATGCTTACGTGAGGGACTATGCAGGGGTGCTTTCTCACCCTTTGCACTCCCCCACTGAATACGGGCCTGATTTATGCCAGCCTAGAGAGAGAGAGAGAGAGAGAAATTGTTTCCTTCAATAGTTAGAGAATGTGGCGGAAAGCCAGTATTTCTGGGTCCTAATCTCGGCTCTTACATTAAATCTCTAACCTGCCTGACCTTACAGAAGCAGGAGTACTGGCCACTGGCGAGGGTGCCCTCTGAGTCTGATTTGGTGTTGATCTGCTGTGGATTGTATACATGGCCTTAGAGTTAAACTGTGACTGATAGATACTGGTGCATGTTGAATATAGTCCACAACTACACTCCCCTCACTGGAGGGTGAGAGGACTGGGCTGCGATGAAAAACTTTTGATGGAAAAAGTCTGATGAAAACATTTTTAAATCATTCAGATTTTTAGTGTTTTGGAGTGTTTTGCATAAAGCCTCAACATTTTGCCATGAAACCAGAAACTTCTTTGCAAAAAAGTCTATTGTGTTGTAAAACCATTTTCCATTGGCTGGGGAGGCATTTTTATGGAAAATTTTCCACTGGATCTACTGCTCAGCCTTTCTCAGAAGGTGCCCAAGCCCTCCAAAAACTGAGTAAATAACAAAAAAAATGGCAATATTTTGAAAAATAATGTATTCACAGACAGGCTAAGCAGAAACCATTATGAAAGCCACATTCAATTTCTCACAGTTTTTTGCCTGGTAAAGGTATTTGACTCTTATTTTGTATGTTTAGAATAAAGACAAGTTCTGAACTTTAAAATATGTGTTTGACTTCTGCTAGGGACGCATATGAAGGATCTCTTTATTATGTACTGAAAAGAGATCTCCTAGGTGGATCTGCAACATGAATTTAAACTGGTTGGAACAAGATGCTTTATGGAATAAAATCATTTTTACTGAAAGAGAAAGGTGAGAAGTGGGTACCTTATTTCCATATAAAATAGCCTGGAAGCACATGTTGGAATGTGTTAAAGAGATAACAATGCCCGAGGGTATGTTTGAGTTCCAATGATACTACTCCACAGCAGGGAATTGGCCCAAAATTGAACATCTCTTTTTAAGGCAGCTGCAAGAGAGGGAATCTGTCTCTGCAAAACAGCACAGAGATGAGGTGATGAGATGACCAATGTTTTCTTTGGTAAGCTGCTCCCTGAACTAAAGTTACTAATTTACCTTTAAACCAATCACCCTCAACCACAAAGTGGAGGATCTCTTAAAGGTCACCTCATTATAGCTTAGACAATAAACATTCACTGTTTAAATTTAATCAGGATAAAATTATAGGGGCACTTGTCCAGAGTGTCATGTAACAATATTCTGATGGTGAGCTATTAGTTAAAAACAAAGGTCACCATTACCTCTTTGTTGTCTGCTAATATGGTTTTGAATATTACCGCTTTCCACCTATTACTATTTGCACTGGGAGATTGGCTAGGCTCATTAATGTGAATGAATGCCAGCAGATGACATCATTTACATTTAATTGTCTTGTTTATCAGCCATGTCTACATAGTTGTTTTAATAAAGGGCAGAGGAAGATAAAGGGTACATTTGCATTCTCTAAGGAGCTTCTGACAAGTGCCTAGAATGTTGTTGACATTTATTGTTTGCAAATACAATAATCAAATTACAGTCTATTAGCAATTGTTGCTCTTTTTTTTCTTGTATTTTTTTCCGTAACAAAACATATTTTTTCTTGGCACCTGAGCTATTAAAGGCAGTATATGTAGGCTCAGGTTTGCAAATGCCTCCAGAAAAACTCAAAGTTAAGCACATGCTTAACTTTGCCTGGACTGTGACTTAAGTAGCTGCTTAAAAACCAAGCAGATGCTAAAGCAGCTAAATGTTTTATTTTGTGAATCAGGTCTCCAAGACTCAGTAGTAAGCTGGTCAAGTTTTTTGCATTTTTGTTTTCAAGAAGATCACTGGGCGTTGTAAATTAAGCACATAACAAATTGGTAATTTTCAATCTTTTTTTAGTCTCATCTGTGATTAAAATATAGCCTGGTGGATTCAGATGTGCAGACTGCCATAATCCCTCCTTGTGTGATCTCACAACCAAACTATTTCAGTCCTTGGCTGCCAGCTCTCTTGCTCTCCCTCTCCCCTACCCTCCCGCCAATCATGCCTCATTCAGAGGTCATCTTCATATTTATTTTCTAACATTTAACTCCCTTGAGGGTGCAGCTGTTAATTGCTTTTTGCACTTATGCATTAGTTGTGAAGTGTTAACTTTCACCAATAGTACATTCAATCATGCAGTTTTCACCTATGGAAGTCTGTATTTCCCCAGTTGAATTACAAGGGTATCAATGGGTGCTAGTGCATGGGAAATGTCAGTCCATTTTCTTTTCCATCCAGAATAATGGTATGTCTGATCTTGTGGAAAACAGGATCACACGTTGTTGTTGTTGTTAGTTAGTTTGTTTTTTGGTCTTTGTGTTTTAGTTCCTGGATTGCACAATGCAATGAGCTCCACCAGGATCAAACCTGCACACTCAGGAAGGAGGGAGTACATAGTGCGCTGGAACTATTTTTAGGGTGGGGGTGCTGAGCTGGGGTCATGCTTAGAGTTGCCAGCGCTTCCAGACCTGACGGACTGGACACCACTGCCACAAATGGTGTCTGATACGTCCAGTTTGGGAGAATTGGTGACCTAGCCACAGCTGGAGGCAGCTGTTAAGCCTTGGACTGAGGCCGGGAGCAGAGCCCTGGGCAGGAGCAGTGGCCTGGACCCTGGGGACAAAGCCTGCAATGAGACCCTGGGGGATAGTGAATCTGGCATGGCTGGCAGGATCCTAGAGGGGCCACCTGGAGGCCAGGACCCTGGGTTGGCAGAGCTGGCAATGGGGCTGATCCCTGCATGCAGAGAAGCTGAGTGCAAAACCTGGGGGTGCTGCAGCACCCTCCATCACACTTATTTCCCGTGCCTATGGGAATACAATTAAGAACACAGGGGCTGAAACAGAGAATCACTGATGGTGACCAGAATTTAACACATCAGAGGAAGGTAAAGAATCATGCAATAGGCAGTTATGGGAAAACCTACCAATGACAGAAGCTTGTTTCCTTCCTGAGCATAACAGTCAACATCCCTTCCAAAATTCTTGAGGGTTTTGTTTTAATCCTTTTATTGAGGGACAATCTTTCATGATAAACCAAGTGCAGAGACTTATCGTTTGGTCAAGTGAGTGCAAATCTGATGGCCTTCTTCAGTCCCTAAAGGCATTGGTTCACCACAGCATTTGGTATATTTCAGTGTAATGGTCCCTTCTCCTGAGAAACCCAGGATTGGGATGGCAGGGTTGCTGCTGGTCTGGCCTCAAAAGCATACTTAGATATGCTGTATTGTGTGGGTGAATTTAGTGCTTGTGAAAATTCAGTGGTTAATAGAATTGGCGTATGTGACTGGTAGGTTCTATGCAAGTGCCACTGATTTAGGCTTGATTCTCTACTTCATTGTATTGGTTCTGTGCCAGCACGATTGGCGCAAATGAAGTTGATTCATTAAGATACGGTGGCCAAAGAAAAATGAAGCAACCTTTCTATCCTCTTCCCCACCCCCACCTACCTCCCACCCCACAAAAAAAAAACAAAAAAACAGTGCCACAGTAAAAATTAGACTCTTCATTTTCATTGATACTAAATCATGCCACAAAATGTAAACAGGTATATATTCTATGTACTTAAATAACCAACAACATACCTCTGGTTAAAAATTGTTGTGTGGCTTGGACTTGCTGGTAAAATCAGATTTTGGAGTGCCAAAGAGCTATTCCCAAGAGCCTCTTCTATTTGGGGCGATCTCAAAATAGCCCATAATTGCTTAACTACTATTATGACACAGTAGCAAGAGAAATAAGTATAGTAGCATCTAATTACCCTAGCAGGAAAAGGTGTGAAATTATTAGGCAGTAACATATGGGCTTGAGCTTGGGTAAATTCCCAGTGAGAATACTTTTTATTCTAAGCACATTTTATCATTTAATTTCAGAGTGTTAATCCATGGGTGAGCCTCTGTCTGTCGCTCTCTCACTTGCTTTCTCTCTTTTACAGAAACATATTCCTCATCTTAACCGTGCTTTCTTCTGATCACAAGGAACTATTGTAAATAAGACTCTAACATGACACTGATGACATGCTGGGTGGGGAGTGGTATTGGGTTGTAGAGCCTGCTCTTCATACGGAAGCAGTAAAACTGAGAAATTACTGTTTGGGTATTACAAGATGCCTTAACAATGCTGATCTTAGCTATCAGTCTCAGTAATGAAAACAAGGTCTCCTGGAAACCGGCATTTATGTTCAGATGCTTCCTATAGGTCTTTTCTCAGAGAGTAACAGTCTAAAAGTTCTGTGAATAGCATCATGTATATATTGTGGTTCCTTGAAGAGAGAAGAGCCCTCTCAAGGTTGCGAACCATAGGCAGTATGGGAAGACACACCCTCGCAAATGAATTTTTTCAGTTCTACTTTAGTACAGTCATTCTCCAGCAGATATGTTTAGCATATATTTTAGGTGCCTAAAATATTGGTGTGAAAATAAGTTTACGCATGCATTCTCTTTATCTAGCCTCTCAAGACTACAAACATACATTGCACTGCGCAGCTGCATAACAAACAACTTGGAATGTGCTCACTCATTTAATTGTCTGATATGTTATTTCTGCCCATTTGAGCTATGTAGTCAGTGGGTAACAACACACACAGTTAACAGACAGGACTCTGTTTTTAAACATGGGGAGATTAATCCCACATCTGGATGCTCAAATTGCTACTTCGACATGTAAATGCATGGTTTATTCACCTAAGTACCAATTTGAGCGTCCAAATGCATGACTTGGACATTACATTAAGGCACCCACTGGATTATATTGCTTGCTTTATCTAACTGAATGCACATTATGCACTGTGCATCATTATGTTCTGTTCCAAATAAGTAAAATGATTCATTTTGAGTAGATTTCCAGAGGAAAATGACACCAGTATGGCATGTACTCGACAGTAAATATTACAAACGCATTGTCAATATCTGTAAGTGCCACATTTACCTATCCAGATTCCCAGCCCCACCCCATTAGTGCTGGTATCTGAAGGTGCATCTACACAGCACATTTAACTTGAAATACGCTGCGCAATTTGCACTACACAAATTGCATAGCTTATTTTGAGGTAATGTCTACACAGAGCCAAATTTCAAAATAAAGCACTATTCAGACAAGTCCCTTAACCCTAGTGGAACGCGGGTTACAGGGACACCGGAATAGTGGGTCTGTTATTTCAAAATACATTTCAAATTAACAGGTGTGTTTAAAGATGCAGAATTGCTATTTTGGGATAGCATGGAAATTTTGGACCCACATCCGTGTGGCTGTGTCTGGGGAAGATGGAATGAACTGTGATCTCTACAATTCAGCTGATTATGTGGAGATGCGTTCATAGCCACTCACAGCTCCTTGGAGAGATGCATAGCCCACAGTGCCACCAAGTCCAGACATTTCTTGCTCCTGAGATTCCAGGTCTCTAATGGAAATCTTAAAATAGGATTTCATTTTTCTCACACCTGTGTTTAAGAGACCTTAGAAAATGAGACTAGATAATACCCAAGGTATTCTTCACTGCAGAGCTTCTTAAAATGCTATAGTCAGGCAGGCTCCAGCAGAAACCACTTTAACTAGAGCCTGGACTAACAGTGTATAATGCCCCTTTCACATCACAGCAGAGAGTCCAAAATGAGGTGAAATGTGTAGCTTTGAAAAAGTAGAGAAAAGACCCATGAAAAATTGGTAGCTTCTGCTCTGCTGTGCTTGAATTTCCTGCTGGATGCAGCCTAAGCCTCAGTGACCTCATGGCAATATTAGAAGTTCAGGATCTTCCCTTTTTTTCT